TCGCATTGTTCTCCGCAAACGCAAGTTTGACCATGCAAAAACCCTTCTGAGAGAGTTGCATTGGCTGCCGTTGCGTGCTCGCATAGAGTACAAAATCGCAACTTTGTGCTACCGCTGCTTACATGACCTGGCGCCGTCCTATCTGAAAGAGCTGCTGACGCCTTATGTACCCAGTAGAGAGCTCCGCTCATCCGATAGTGGCAAACTCTCGACACCACGTGTTTGCCTTGAGACTTACGGAAAGCGCACTTTCGCATTTGCTGGTTCAACAATTTGGAACGCCCTTCCTGTCGATCTTAGAAACAACCAGACACTGGAGTCCTTTAAAACCGATCTAAAGACACATCTATTTCGCAAATACCTTCTGGGATGATTGTCTACCTTATTTTCCATTTTGGGGGGGGGGGGGTGCAAATTCGAAAGTTTATGATTTAGCCCAAACCAGCAATTATTCAAACTACACCCCTGAATGGGTGGGGGTCCATTTTATGAGTGTATAGAAATGTCTCAAAGGCACAGTTTTTTTTTACATACGGTAAAATGTACGTCAAGAGATAATTTCACTCTATTTCTTTATATACAATTATGTACATGTTACACATTCATTCTAAGCTTCTTAGGTGTCAGACGCAATAGGTTTCTGTCAAGATTTGAAACGACACTGTTCCGGGGAAATAGTACTGCAAGACATGGTAGTGTTGCGGTGAAATCTGCAGCAAGATACCGAACAAAAAAAATACCACACCATAAGAAGTCTTTAGCATAACCATAAAAGAATGGTGCACTTTGCTTGTGTTCCGTCCGGGATGCAACGATACACAAATAACACATCAATAGAAAGAAGATGTACGCCAAACGGTGCACCTCTGCGCCGGGGACGTACGGCGCTGCTACTGAACTCACATCCAGATACGAGGCTGCGGTTCTAAAATGGACATGGCCCTTGATGGCGATATTCTCAGACTGCTCTCAGAGATTATAATGTGGCCAACGTGACGCCCCTTGAGAGAAAATACCACCCGCCCCCTTGGGCGTCGCCTCGGTCAGTTCCATATTAAAATAACGTTGAAGTTTCTTGAGGTTCCTTCTACGTTCAATTTTTTAATAAGGGCTGGAAGATAATATAAATTATAAATATACTTTAAATGTTTCTTATGTTTGTGTAAGTCTGTGTGATGCTCCTCATTTATAATGAGATCATAATTAAAATGTTTATTTTCAGTTTCTAGAACAGCGGTTCTCAAACTGTGGATCACCACCCCCCCCTTTTTTTTCGGGGGGGGGGGGGGGGGGGGGGGAAAAACCCTTTAAAATGTTTATTTTCAGTTTCTAGAACCGCGGTTCTCAAACTGGGGGCCCCCCCCCCCCCCTTTTTTTTCGGGGGGGGGGGGGAGGGGGGTCGAAAGACCCTTACACAGGGGTTGCCTAAAACCACCGGAAAAAACATATTCACGATGTATCAACGAAAGTTTGGGGGTGGGGGCGGTCACCACAACACGAGGAACTGTATTAAAGGAGCATGGCATCAAGAAGGTCGAGAACCACTGTTCTAAAAGTGTATGAGGCTGCAAAATGTACTTTAAAATAGCTAAAGATATACACGAAGGTTGAGGGTACAGCGGATTTTAAAGTTACAACCGATTTTACGGCGTCAATGCTTAGAATCCACTGTGTTCATTTTTTAAACCTTAAATACACAAAATATGTTAATTATTAAAGATTAAGTCCTTTTGGTGCCGAGGCCGCCAATAGAAATAATTTAAAATAAATTGAATCCAATCCGATTTTAATGGATCAAACTGACGGAGTCCCTAGGTTAGGGACAACTAAAGTGGCCATAAACGGCCATAGGTTTGACATTGGTGAAAACTTTCATAAATATGGACTTTTGTAATAGACACTTTTGAAATTGTCCATTTGGTCTTTAAATCATGGTTTTGCTTGGTTGTTTGATTGTTTTCCCACCTTGGCCCAGCTTGAATATTAACTGAAATGGGCTCAGTCCAAGGTTCCTTCTTCTTCTTATATTTGAGGGCACACGATCAATTTTTTGATCATTCTGGCTCCTGCTACAATTTCAGAGTTTGCCTTGTCTTAGGTGGCTAACGAGTCCAATCCACCCGGGGATTGAACTCAAGACCACCAGCTATTTGGTTTGAGACAATGAAGACCGCTCGGTCACCCTGCCTTGGCCACCCTGCACCCTAAATTCATTAATGAAAAGAATTTGTATTAAGTTGATTTTTTTTTACATGAAATGTAAAATAAAAAAAATATTTAAAAAAATAAAAAAATTTATAGGTACTTAAGCGCAATGTTTTTGACATGCACCTAAATTTATGTCTACGCAGATATAGTTTTAGAAGTATTTTCAGAATGCAAGCGCGAAAAACCTAGCGACGCCGGGGATATTAGCTAGTTTATAACAAGACAAAAACAAAACGAAAACCACACGGTGAATTTAACCACGTGCAGTGAGCAATGGTGAAATTCTGCCGAATATGTCCAAGGCTTAAGATTTATTACGAGACTTTCAGTGTGAACACCCAAGATGGTGGTCGGGTCTAGAGGGTAATACGTAATCAATTTTTGCGGTCTTCTGTCTCAGACTGTATTTGACTTGTAGATTACTGAGAGCACGGCTGATTGGTCCAGCCTGGTAGACCCACACGTTTTCTTCATCGCTGGTCCGCGCACAGAATCTCTCTAAATGAAATTGTCGCCAACACTACAGAAACTATGTTTGCCGGTGCAAAGATCAGCTCTCTATCTCTCTCTCTATTCCTTTTCACCCTCCCCCCCCCCCTTTTCCACTAATCCCTCTCTCTAACCATCAAATAGTGAGTTATCCCACCAAAGGACGGGAATTTAAGTTAAGGCCGACATCATTCCCCGTTGGTCCCACCCAGCGGGATGCGGGTGCTGTCAGGCATTATTTGAAAACAAACCCCAATTCACTTGCTGTTAGGACGTATCTCTCCCGTGTCACGCCATCCCACAGCGTGCCTCACACACAGCTTTCCGACTCTGACCAACGTCCACGACCGTGCGGTTGTTACGAGCGCTGTGTTCTTGATGGCATTAAATTTGTAACGACTCGTAAAGACATTTTAATGCTTTTTTTTTTTTTATCGCGTGGTTGATCAGAATATTAGAAAGTTAACTTAACCAACTGACTTAAAATCTCCAGTCAATAGTTGACTTAAAATCTCCGGTCAATAGTTTACTTAGAACTTCCAGTCACATTGAAATTTCTTCTAGAAAAGAAAAAAAAGAAAGATAATCTTTTTTTAAAAAAAATGGTTGAACATTAACTTTGTAATGAAGCTAAAACGTAGGGGCCACTGAGACATTCACGAGTTCATTATCTAAATGGCATCTAAACGTTTCTAAAATATCCCAAGGAAGATGTCAGTTGTACATTCATATTTAATCTCGAGGACGATGTCATTGTAACCTTCTTCTTCTTCTCTATCTCAATGGCCCACGATCAACGTTTTGATCATTCTGGCTCCCATTTATTATGTGTAGGGGATCCACGATGTTTGTGTGCCGGGTATTGAAGAGGATACTTCACTGGTTGCAAGGCTGTTCATTCATTTCTAATCTCAAGGCAGATGTAACTGAAACAATCATATCTACTTCAGAAATAGTACCGTATTAAAAAATGAATAAAATTTAGTTGCCATGAGTTATACTAGTCAGTCCAGCCCGCCCCCCTTCGTGTCCCTCACCCGACCAGCATCTGCGCAACGTAATAATCCATTTCATATGACATCTTTTTGTAAACGCATTTCATTAGCCATGTTGCTGTATATAAAGGACTACATAGAGCGGCAGGACCGCCCAGAGTTGCAGGACCCCGTAGAGTTGTAAGACCCCTTAGAGTTGCAGGACCCCAAAGAGTTGCAGTACCCACTAGAGTCGCAGGACCCCGTAGAGTTGTAAGACCCCTTAGAGTAGCAGGACCCCTTAGAGTAGCAGGACCCCAAGAGTTGCAGGACCCCTATATTCACAAGACCCCCTAGAGTTTCGAGACTAAACCTCCCATGCTTCTAATTCTGTTTGGCGTAAAAGTTTAAAAAAACAATACATTAAAAACAGAATTAAAAAATATTAAATTTAAATAACAAAGAATTATGAAGTTTTAAAACAACTGCAATCAGATTTGTAGAATGATTCACGCATGTCGTGTTTCTCGTTTCATAGTGAAAGCCACAATTTGGAGATTCTCGCCTTGTTTCTCTGAACCTGGTCTTTGGTGGAGAACATTTCAGAAACATCACATACTGTTGCAGACGTCAGGGGAGGTCAACATTGTTATGGTTAGTTCATCCATGGGGACATAGAATGTCATCATGAATGGAGTTTTAACTCTACAGGAAGGCATGTCATTTCAAAAGGGAGGGGGAGGTTCATTGGAAACCAAATGTCAGATAGAAAAAACAATTGGAGTGGGCGGTGTCAGGGTACCGAAACAAGTCTACATATAAATGTGACTTCTGATGTACATAGAATATGTTAACAGTGGGAAAATCAAAGCCATAGATCTGTCTGTGTAGTGGGACACCATTTCCCATTCATCCTTCTTTTAGAGGATAATCTTTAAACAAACTTTTCTTTTTTGATACAGTGTTTTTTGGGGTTCAAAGTTTAAGAGTTTGTTGGTTTATTTTTTTTTTGGCTTTTAATCGTCTCATGTTACTAATCCTCCACATATTTATAAGACTCTATTTTATGACATTAATCTGGGATGTGACATCAGGCCAAGACTGTCGGACCTTGCTGGAACTTGAATTACGTCACAATCTCGACAATTTTCCCACATCTTCTTAGAGAGTTTATTAGGAATCAAGTGAGCGACCATAAACAGACCTATTTTAAATCACGCTCCATGACAACGAGATGTTTGTCCATTTTGTTCGAGACCAATCCCCAGCTCATATCGTCAGCACGGTGAGATGACGGCGTTTTGGAGTCGCGTGGACGTCGTGGCAGATGAACATCTTCCGCATGTAATCCTTGAAGATGTGGTTCATGAACGCGTAGATGAACGGGTTCGCCACGTTGTAGATGAAGTAAATGTAAAACAGAATTTTATTACGCGAGATAATCCCCACGAGCATCAGCCCGGAAGGCACGAAGGCCACCACGAACACAATGGTCACCGTGAACAGCATGAGAGCCGTTCGGACATTGGCGGAGCGGTTCTCATCTCGCAACCGGTCCGCCTCGTAGCTGTGCTGGGACTTGCGCCTCTTCGATTTGCCCTTGTAGCGCTTCATGGAATCGCGGTTCTTGTGCCAGTGGTATTTCTGCTCGGGGAGGTGGCTGTGCCTCCGCCCGCCGTTTCCCTGGCCGTTTGAGTTGTTGTTGTTGCTGTTGACGTAAAAGTTGTTCAGGATGGGCGTGTTGTCGTCGTGCTCCGTGGGCGAGACGGCCGAGGTTGTGGTCGGCGGTGCGCTGAACGAGAGTTTGCCCCGAGGCGGGTTGTCCACGAGCAGGTTATGCCCGTGTTTGCCAGGCTCGTGCTTGGCGTCGCCGTTGAGGTGCAGCTCGGAGGTGTTGCACGACGACGTGATCCGCATCACCATCGAATTCGACCCCAGCTCGTAGGCGGAGACCGAGGTGGGGAACGCGCTGGGGAGGGAAGAAGCCGAGATGGTCTTGTTTTTGGTGTTCCTTCGCGTCTCGTCCACCTCGCCGCTGACCAGCCGCGTGTTTTCATACGTGCCGTCCCCATTGACATACGAGCACATGATGAGCTTCTGCTGGAGCTTTTTCGAGCGTCTCAGACACATGAACCGGTAGATCATCAGGTACAGGACGACGACCGTGACGAGACACGTGGGCCATACCGCTGTGTGTATCGGCCTGTAGGCCGCCAGGAACCTGGGACCGATGGTCACGGCGGAAGGGTCGCAGATCCCCAAGTAAAAAACCTCCGAGGTAATGGGGTACGAGTTGTTGCCGACATCCTCGAAGGTCACGTTATGCTTGTGCAGCGCCCTCATCATCTTCTCCTTCTCGCCGTGGTAAAACTCCCCGCCGCGCCCAACGATCTTTTCCTCCTCCGCATCGTTATCGTTCACCTTGCGGACGCGGATGAACTTGTCCAGTTTGGCGATGGACTGCGTGAAGTTGGTCCCCAGGACCTGGTCGATCCGCGCCGAGTCGATCCGCTCTATGATCTGGTAGACGCTGTAAAACAAGGACGTGATGACGCCGAGGGTGCACGCGAGCAGGGTCAGGAGGAACAGGGTCAGCTTGACCCTCCTGAGCGTGACGATCCGCTTGAGCGGGTGGCAGATGCAGAAGTAGCGATCGAAGGCGATGGCGACCATGATGAAGGCGGACATCGGCACCTTGGAGGTGATGAGGAAGTGGTAGAGCTTGCAGAAGAAGTCGTACTTGAGGTTGAACTCGATGTACTCGACCACCATGGTGAACGGGATGATGACCATGCAGGTGAAGAGGTCGATGACCGCCATTGTGATAATGAACACCTGGGCCGTGGTCTTGTCTCGGATGCGCTATGAGGAAAAAAAAGTGGGGGTGGGGGGGGGGGGAATGGGGGGGATTAAATTTTTGGATTGTTGTAAAAAGNTAAAATTAAAATTTTCCTATAAATCCTTCATAAAATTTAACATTGAGCTATGGGGTGGGGATGGGCAGGGGAGGGGCTGAAAATTTGACAAAACATGGAACACATTTTATGAGAATCACTATAGTGTTCAACCCCCTCCCCCCCCGGCTGGCAACCGCACATTTTGTTCGCGCCCCTGAACTATATTAATATTCTAAGGACACACCCACATTTACACCGCAGATTTATTTCACAATCTTTTTCAGAACCCCCCCCCCCCTAGCACCAGACGCAGTTGCGATATTTTTCTGGGAAAAAATCTCATTTAGCGTAATGTTTGGGATCTTATTTCCTGGTCATCCTCTCCTTTATCCTCCACTTAAACAGATAAAAAAAAACACCTGATTTTTAGGGGCTAGGATTGGGGATGGAAATTTGATGTAATGTTTGTTCATCCGAAACGAGTCTACGTTCCAAGTTTCAGCTCAATAGGTTTTCGTGAAGTGGGTCAATTAGCCGTCCGAAGATTTTGCCACCCAGCTAGTGTTTTTTTTCAATCTTTCACTCAGATGTCAAAGATTTTCTCTCAGATTTCTAGCTACGAGGTATTCAGACATGTCAAAATGAAATGTAAAAATTGTTAAAATGTCTAAAACTACAGCATTAAGTCAAATCTTGAATCTGATCCCCTATTTCAATCACATACAGGAAAAAAAAACAATAAAATGAGGACGACGACATGAGAGAGCGGCTTCGAGGTTATTACATGACGTCACTTGGGGGGGGGGTTAATTACGGGTGTCGTAATAATGAAAAACGTAATGGAAATTAGTTAGATTTGACTTTAAAAAAAAAAAAATATTTGGACAATCTTCAAGCTTTATAAGTGCATAAAAAAAATACTTTGGACTTGGAAACTTGTCTTGACCAAAATACTTAAAAATTGTATACTTTTAAAATAGCAAAATTCAGGTATGAATCCCTTATAAGGTTCTTTACCTGCAACTATAAATATTATGAGTTCCCTTTTATTTTTTAAAGGGCGATTTATTTTACTTAAATCCGCCAACCGACTTACAAGGCAGATGCAAATGTTGCCGTAATGCTGATAATTTAACGTGTTGAACAATGATAACATATTGGTCACTGCCCCGGTATAAGTTATTCGCCAACTGCCTTATTTCAAACAAAAATTAACAAGGAATAGTGCAGCACCTGGAAGACGAAGATGACCATTCCATTTCCGATAGAGCCCACCACCGAGAAGACGGACAGCATGAACATCAGGATGATCATCTGAACCGAGGGGCCCCCACCGCCGGACACCATCTCCTCGTTTGACGACATGTTGCTGCGTGTCGCCTCCATGGCGTCTACGCCTGTGGATAGACAGGACACATACCACTCGCTGATTACTAAAAATCGTTATGATATATAGACACAACACAATAAAATCCGATAGGACACAAGAAAATCTGATGGAACACAAAACGATCTGATGGAAAACAACACAAACTGCTTGAATACAACCCATTATGATATAACACAATGCACAGTTATGTGAAAGACATATCAAATCCGTGTCTGTGAGAAAAAACGCATCAGGATCTAAACGACACGTGACAACACATTTTTTTGAGAAGGTTGCTTGGGTCCAAAGTGAATAATGAAAGAAATAAACAACGCACGCTGTCAGATCTCCACGGTTAAATGGCAAATGGCAATTGTCCTTTTTTTTTTTAATGACAACACTAACATATTTATGGAGACGTACTTTCTTGATGCTAGATTGCACTTGAAGTCAGGGACAATTTTCTGTTCCCAGAACCTGTCAAGAATAATCGACTAACTTGAGCCAGAGACCTGCAATAATTTTAAAAGCCTTGAACTTTTGACCTCATCAATTATCATGATTAAAACTAATCATTTTTTGTTGCTTTTCTCAGTGGTTCTCCGCCTTGCTAATGCCCTGACCATCAAATGCAGTTCCCCATGTGGTGGTGACCCCCAACCATAAAATTAGTTTCGCTGATACTTCATAAATATGTGTTTTCCGATGATCTTAGGCGACTCCTGTGTAAGGGCTGTTCAACCGCCACAAAGGGTTCACGACCCACATGTTGAGAACCGCTTACTTTTCAGACCCACGAATGTTTCGCTCTGAGCTGCCGAAGTACGTATCGTGTACGGCTAGACAAAAAACCTATCGGAACTGTGAGCCAAACCAGACTGACGGCGTGTGTCTCTTTAAATAGTGACACTAGTCGGCTGGCTCCTGTACTTGGGTTTACCCCCCCCCCCCTTTCCCCTCCTCGAAATCATGCCACCGCCTTGTTTGCTTCCTTTTTCTTATTTGTCAGCCATGAATCGCAAGGCA